CAAGTCCTTTCTTAATAAAACTGGTTTATTCTTTCTGAATATAACTTTACCGATACACTCAACTTCAACAATCACGCTAAACAAACGCTGTAATGTCTCTTGTGCTCTCTGACTGCAGTTCAATTACTCACTGTCTACACACACATTACATTACATTATTCCATCACTTTGTCACCCTCTTTTATATACCCAACTACCCTATATCTAGTAAATACTAGAGCATTCGCCAAAGTACAGGATAGTTCTAGAAAGTAGAGGGCGTGAGAATCACATGATCTCGATGACGCAACAGTACTTTACTTATTTGATGTCAGTTAGACTTATGGAAAACTCATACTATATGGTTAACCAATTTCTAAACATGTACACATGCAATTTTGTAAGATAAACTGTCTCTCACACAGGCATATGTGCTTCTCTTATTAAAAGTAAAATAAGTTCATATACTTGCACACATCTCATACATGGATTAATTGATGTACAATACATTCTATGTAATAGTGTAAAACAAATCACATGTGTTTAAATGCATTGGGTTAATTATAACTTGCACGTTGATCTGTAGGGTAATCTAGCACATGTTTTTGCCTTGTATTGTAGGTTAGTCCAACTCACACATTAATACATTTAAGTCATGTTATGGTGCATAACATTCATACATACCTATACACCCTCATATTGTAGGGTAAACCAGATCACATATACACCTCATACTGTATGGAGCAATTCATTTCACAGATATTTATTCTGTACATCCTAACTTGCACATACTATACATCTTTATTTTGTGGAGCAAACCAATTCATAAATAATTTTACATACTTATACTATGGCAGTTAGTTCAGGCAATACTATCAAGTGGTTGTTGAGATCATGTGATCGTTAGCATGTACTCATTGCTGTGAAGGTAAATAAATATAGCCCCCATTTCCCAGCACAAACAGTAGTGAAGTTTGGTTAGGCACACCAAGAGGCCTTTGATTATCATTGTACAGTGTTGTAGTGATGAGTAGATTAAACCTATTCTGAAACAACCTGACTGGCCTATCAATATCACAGTGATTAGTTAAACACGACTACATACATATAATATTATGTTGAACATACCTGATTTTATGAAAGTAACTTATTTGCATAGTTTATATAGTGCACTGAAGAAATTGAATATTCCAAGATGGTCAATTGGCCTCTCCGCACACAGTAGCTATTTCTTGTGTGCTTGCTGTTGAGATTTTTGTGCATACCACTAGCCTTAAACTGTTTTCCATCTAAATCACTTTTGTTTTACATGAACTGCACTAGTACATGATGTAATCATCATGCGGCAATAACCCTCCACTAGTAAGAGGGAGACACATTCTCCATGTGCAGCAGATCTGCACAATTACTTGTACACAAAATTAATGTAATTCTTAAACTCGGCACTGCCATTAACAAATTGTGCTTCACCTTTGTGATTGATTTGATATAGTAATCTTTAATACTGTATTTATGGTTATTTCTTCTTTCAGTATATGTCTATTTTTCATTTTAAACTTCCATAAGATTTATAATTCCATTTCTCACTTTTGTTCTTTCCTTAACAGTGGTAAACTACAAGCTGTGTTAGGGTTACCATTCAAATTGTTTTTTCTGCCATCCTAATATAAATTATTCTGTTACCCTTGCCTGTAGCTCAAATAGTTTCATGTATCAATTGGTTTCTGTATGTTTCTACATTCGAATTTCTAGTATTATGATCTATTACTGTGCCAGGCCACAAGTCTTTCTTATATGGTTTTCTTAACTCCATGAACCTGTACATAACAGTTGTTGCATATATATATATAAATTCCAAAGACATTTTCTAGCAGTTCTACACTATGAATTCTCAAGTTTATGCAGCTATGTCTTCTCAAGGTTCTACCTCTGGAATGAGACTAGTTAATGTCCTCTACTAAGATTGTTTGCAGAACTCAAGATATCATACAACATAATGTCTTGAAACTCCTCTCATTTTCTACCATGTTTATGGCTGATGGAGAACCTTTATCTGTGGAAAATGTTTCTGCCAATTTTCATCATTTTATGAATCTTGCCTTCCTTCTTAGTTTCTCTATTTCCTATGCATCCATCATTTCTGAGCCTGACCATGAGGTTATGTTTTTATTAAGTTATTTCCACTGCTTTTGTTTGCTCTGGCCTCATCATTCTCTGTTAAGAACATGTCATTCATCTCTCTCTCTTTGCTGATTATGAAACATTTGTACTATGCTTTGCCTTTCTTCTATCCTATGTTTCATCACTATCTTTATTCCATGCTTTCATGCTGTAGTGTTATTCCTTCCCCCTTCACCTGACTTTAGTATCCATGCTGAGATCTTCTTGTCTCAGCATCATTTCTACTCTTCCCTGTCTTAACCTCCTTGTTTCCATGATTCCTCTGACATAGCTTATGGATGCTTCCCTTCTACCTTCTTGGTTACTCAATCCCTGGAATTCCTTCTGCCTGTTATGGTGTTGACCCTCTGTCTCCAGTATCCCTTACCAAGGCTCACTTCTCCCATCTTTGCATTCTCCTTGATCTATCTCTTTGCTACCTGTTTTCTTCTTATCTCCTATTTGAGACCCCCCACTAGGATCCAGATGGATTTTTTGGGTATCTCCAGTCTGTTCTTTTTCCATTCCCTACTAAGGCCATGATCTTATCTTTAGCTCTCTCTCTCCTTACATGGTTTCTGTGTAGTTGAGATCTTTTCAGACATGACACCCATTTCTCTGTTGTTCACCTTCTTCACTCTCCCTACACAGCTTGTGTCTTACTCCACTTATTTGCCCTAAAGTCTATGGGGTATTCCTTGCACCTTGAAATATTGGACAGAAGCTGCTTGCCATCATTTTCTCTTACCTCTTTAGTCTCTATCTTGCTCATTCTTGTACATCCCCTCATATTCTTTGGCTGATGTACTCTCATCCTTTCTCACCTTTCCTCTTCCTGTCCCTCTCCCTTCTCTTGCCATCCCCCCCCTCCTCCTTGAAGGGGTAGTCTTTGTCTGCCCCACTGGTGACAACCTCTCTTTGTATCTAGTTGGCTCCAGTTCTCTGAGGACACTTCTATGCTAATTTGTGAATTCCTTTCACAGCCAACCATTTGGTCATGAAGATTTTTACCCATTACCTCTCTCTTCACTTCTCTTCCCCTTTTCCCAATGTTTTTTTCCATCTTTTGATCCTAAGAACTTCCACTTTCTCAAGAACACAATGTCAGAGTTTTTGGTTTTGAACGCCATAGAGAGAGTCACTTACCCCTTTCTGGGTTACTGTTTTTCTCTCTTCATTGTCCCCATGAATACTGGGGATAGACATCCCCTCATCATACTTCTTTTTTGAACCACTTCTGATGATGCCTCAGTTTCTGATTAAGGGATTTCTCTCTCTCTCTCTCCCCATAGGTTGTTTTCCTC